CGAGGTCAGAAAAGTTATGGAGTTCATTTTTATTTATCCTACGATAAGTCATTTAATTGCTTATCGCGACAGGCCTATGCACACAATAAAACAGTGGAAACAAACATGTGTTTGACTTTCATTAGTGAATGAAACTGTGTGCCCTTTATAGTCTGTGTCCAATATTGTGTATTCGTATATATATCCTATATATATGCTAAAGTCCCGCTACTGACACGATAGCAGTCATTTAGTGTGCATACAGTATGTGTAATTAAACCCATGATATCAAAATCTCACTCCAGCCAGGTACCCAAAGTTGGCAACCCTGCAATATTAATATTAATAATACAGCTATAGCACAACACAACCCTCTCACTGCCTGGAGAGACGCGACGCCACACACACAACACAACGGCTCGTCTTCTTGTGTCTCTTCAGCCCCCAAGGTAACGTTAGCTGTCAAGTTAGCACTAGCACTGACGTTAGCTCCCTCCTCTCTCGGTTCTGTTGTAGCAGCAGTCACAACGTACGATGTGCTACCACCAGCTACATTCGGTTGGTCTTCTTGATCAGGTTGTTTGGCCGTCTTTTTAAAGAAATTGCCCAAGGTAAGTTGTTTTTTTCTTTTCATTACATTACATTACATTGCATTTAGCTGACGCTTTTATCCAAAGCGACTTACAATAAGTACATTCGACCAGGAAGACACAACCTTGAAGAAAACAGAATCATATAAGTACATCAGGTTTCATAGAGCCAAACATTTCAAGTGCTACTCAACGGGCTTTAGATAAGCCAGTCCTTTATTAGTATAAAAGTGCTTCGTTAATAGTTCTAACGCTCAAAGTGGAGTCGAAAGAGATGAGTTTTCAGTTTGCGCCGGAAGATGTGCAAGCTATCTGCCGTCCTGATGTCAATGGGGAGCTCATTCCACCATCCTGGAGCCAGGACAGCAAAACCCACGTGTTTTCGCCGATGGGAACTTGGGTCCCCCCTCGCAGCGAGGGTGCAGCGAGTCGTTTGGCTGATGCAGAGCGTAGTGCACGCGCTGGGGTGTACGGTTTAACCATGTCCTGGATGTACGAAGGGCCAGATCCATTCGCAGCATGGTAAGCAAGTACCAGTGTCTTGAAGTGGATTCTAGCAGTTACCGGAAGCCAGTGAAGGGAGCGGAGGAGCGGAGTGGTGTGGGAACATTTAGGAAGGTTGAAGACCAGACGAGCCGCTGCATTCTGGATGAGCTGCAGAGGTCGGATGGCAACATGCAGGTAGACCAGCCAGGAGGGAGTTGCAGTAGTCTAGGCGTGAGATGACGAGAGCCTGGACCAGAACCTGAGTCGCTTTCTGTGTCAGCTGGGGACGTATCTTCCAGATGTTGTAAAGCGTGTATCTGCAGCAACGGGTTGTAGCAGCGATGTTTGCAGTGAAGGACAGGTTGTTATCTAGGGTCACACCCAGATTCCTTGCAGTCTGATGTTGATTGTTAGGTCAAGAGTGGGACAATCTTTTCCCGGAAGGAAGAGCAGCTCAATCTTGTCAAGGTTGAGCTTGAGGTGATGAGCAGACATCCACTGAGAGATGTCAGCTAGACAAGCAGAGATGCGTGCGACGACCTGGGTCTCTGAGCGGGGAAAGGACAGAATTCATTGGGTGTCGTCAGCGTAGCAGTGGTAAGAAAAACCATGCGGGCTAATGACTGATCCGAGCGAGTTTGTGTACAGGGAGAAGAAGAGGAGGGGACCAAGAACAGAGCCCTGAGGGACCCCTGTAGTTAATTGACAAGGGTCGGACTCAGACCCTCTCCAAGTCACCCTGTAGGTACGGTCTTTCAGGTATGAGGTGAGGAGGGAAGTGCAGAGCCTGAAACTCCATGTTTTTGGAGAGTGCGAAGGAGGATCTGATGATTCACCGTGTCGAATGCAGCAGACAGGTCCAACAGGATGATGACAGAGGAGAGGGATGCAGTTTTGGCAGTGTGCAGTTCCTCCGTGACAGCAATGAGAGCAGTTTCTGTGGAGTGACCTTCCTTGAAACCAGACTGGTGCGGATCCAGAAGGTTGTTCTGATTGAGATAACAGGAGAGTTGTTTAAAGACAGCGTGTTCAAGTGATTTAGACAGGAACGGGAGGAGAGAGACAGGCCTGTAGTTTATAACATCAGACGGGTTGAGAGTGGGTTTCTTTAGGAGAGGGTTTACTCTTGCCTCCTTGAGACTGTTTGGAAAGTGACCAGAAGTTAGAGAAGTGTTGATGAAATGGGTGAGAAATGGTAGAATATCAGGAGCGATAGTCTGAAGGAAGGTTTGAAGGGATAGGGTCCAGAGGACAGGTGGTAGGGTGGGGCAGAGGTAATGAGGGTAAGAAACTCACTTGGAGAGAGAGGGGAAAAGGAGGTTAGTGTGTTGGTGGAAGGAGGGTCTGGTGACCCAGCGGTGAGTAAAGGTGAGTCAGAAAAAAGAAGAGCGATATCATCAACCTTTTTTTCAAAGTGGGGTAACAAGTCGCTTGACAGAAGTGAGGAGGGGGGAGGGGCTTTTGGAGGGTCCAAGAGGGTGGAGAAGATGGAAAATAGTTTTTTAGGATTGGAATAGGAAGATTAGATCTTATCTTGAAAGAAAGTGCTTTTTGCCTGAGAGATTGAAGCAGAGAAAGAGGAGAGGAGAGCTTGATAGGTTAGGAGGTCGTCACAGTGTTTGGATTTCCACCGTTTCCGCTCTGCTGCCCTAAGGACGGTTCTATTAGCACGCAGTGCATAATTTAGCCAGGGAGCAGGAGGGGACTGACGAGCCTGCCGAGATGTGAGAGGACAGAGAGAGTCCAGAGTGGATAGAGAGAGTAGAGAGGAGAGTTTCTGCAGCAGAGTTTGGAGGCAGGAGTTGGAACGAGTCAGAGGAAGGGAGGGCTGAGAGCACCGATGAGGCAAAGGTAGAGGGGGAGAGGGAAGCGAAGGTTACGGCGGACAGTGCAGGATGAAGAAGAGATTAGTTTGTTATGTTTGGACAAGGGGTAGAGAGAATGAAATGAAGAAGTGATCGGATGTGTGGAGCGGGTTTACAGAGAGGTTAGAAGTAGCGCAGTTCCTTGAGAATATGAGATCAAGGACATTGCCAGCTTTATGAGTCGGTGGGGACGGAGACAGTGAGAAAGCAAAGGCGGTTAACAGAGATGTTAGTTCGTCTATCTTCCCTGTCTGGAGTTGAAGTCTCCGAGAAGTACAGCGGGAGGGCCAGTTTCAGGGATGTGTGAGAGGAGATTATCTAATTCCTCCAAGAAGTCCCCCAAGGCGCCTGGTGGACGGTAGAGAACAACAATGGTTAATTGTATAGGATGGGTTGCTGTGACGGCATGGAATTCAAAGGTGGAAGGAGTGAAGTTAGGTAGTTTGAAGAGGGAAAAGCTCCATTTGGGAGAGAGCAGGAGACCAGTGCCACCTCTTCTGCCAGTTGGTGTGGGTGTATGGGAGAAATAATATGCAGTGGAGAGAGCTGCTGGGGTGGATGTGTTGGATGGAGTAATCCAGGTCTCAGTGAGAGCAAGGAAATCCAGAGACTGCAGGGAGGCGTAGCCAGAGATGAAGTCAGCCTTAGGAACTGACTGACTGACTGGCAATTCCACAGGGCCACCTTGAAACTAGATGTTTGGATCTCAGTGGAGGCATGTGGGATAGATGAGAGCAGCCGGTTATAATCGATTACGAGATTACACGGGGCCAGTGATAATTGCGAGAAGACCCATGAACAGGAATGGAGAAAATACACATGATTATAACATGAGGGGGCTAAACAACCAAATAAAATAAAACAACCAGCGATACTTAGTTTCAATCAAAGTAGGATTTGCCTAGTCTTTGCCTCCCTCGTGGACTCCCGCAGGGACTCTAATGTCTTTGCCAGTCTTACTCCCGCAGGACTCTAATGTCTTTGCCAGTCTTAGCCTGTCTGACGCTGAAGCTGACGCTCCAGGAAAGTGCTACCTAAAATGGACACCTGATTGCTGAGTTCTCACAGCTGTGGGGCAACGTCCCGTTAATTAGTTAACTCTGCAGCTGATGGCCCTCAAAAGGAAATCTAGACTGGCTTCCTCCTGAGTTGTTATTGTCTTTTAAGTCAATTACATTAAACCCTAAGTTATAAAGTTATGAGTTTAACCCTTAATACAGTTACACCTACTCAATAAAGCTCTTAGTATTCTACAAATGTTTAAATCAAAGTTAACCCTAGCAGTTAGTTAGTTCACTTTTCAGTCAAATGACTTGTCCCAAGTTTCTGCCTGACAGATACTGTAGCGGTTTTGAGTTTTAAAATCACAATTCCAGTCAGATCAACTACAGAGCATTGATACAGAGTACACACACTGAAACAGAGAAGTCTAAAAACACAATGTTACTCACACAATTCTAGAAGTCTCCAGTAGCTTTCCTGTCAAAATCGAGTTGCACACACTTTTCGACATGTCAGCAGCAGCAACAATGCCTGGTAAACATGCAGTGCTAACTAAACGAGCTTGTGAGTGAGTGGTAGTGGTGGAGCTGCGGGCAGCGTGCAAGCAGGCGACACTTTTTTCATGAATCATAAACTCTAAATATAATTTTATTTCACTTATTTTACACCTTTGAAAAAAAAAACATGCCCAAAATGGAATGTATTTGGTCATCATATCAGTATTCCAGCCTGTCCTCCTACAAAAAACGACCAAATAGGTCGATTGTTTTCCGACCCAAATACGACCCATAGCCACGTTTTAAAGTGTAGCACCTCTAGTGGTCGTGTAAGAAACACATGCTCCCGTCTATTCATTTCTTTCTTGCAGCAGTTTATTACGACCTATTGTCATGTTTTAAATTTAGCAACTCCTGGCGGATCGTAATCCCGTGAACTTTAACCTTGGGCATCAATAAAAGTGCGACGAGTGGAAGAAGAAGAAGAAGAAGAAGAAGAAGAAGAAGAAGAAAAAGAGAGAAGAAGAAGAATAGAGAGAGAGAATAAGAAGACGAAGAAAATAAGAAGAAGAAGAAGAAGAGAAGAAGAAGAAGAAGAAGAAGAAGAAGAAGAAGAAGAAGAAGAAGAAGAAGAAGAAGAATTGTTAAAGAGCGTCACAGCTGTACAAGTGGTAAATCTGATTTCTGTATTTCATTTGATTTTTACGCTTTTAATTAATCCTGTCGTTTGTCTACAATCATGTTTAACCACGATATTTCAGTTTTACGTTTTAGGGCTGGCCCGTGGCATAGGCAGTATATGCGAATGCTTGTTGTTAGCAATAGCATGGTTGCAAGGTTAGCACTTAGCTTAGGTACAGATGCGCTAACGGATATGTATTGCAATATAAGAAGGTTCTTCTGCAACAAGTTGGAGGGAGAGTTTTTCTCTTCGCACAAAAGGAGCTAAAATCTTGCCTAAAAACAAAACCCTTTGTAGCACGTGACATAAAACATAACAATGGCAAAAGTATGTATATTCAGCCAGACCAGGACAGATATGACCTTAAAACAATGCGAAAGGAAATGGCATTTATAATAATAATAATAATAAATAATAGACATTTACATGGCGCTTTTCATAATGCACACACTTTTTTTCTTCTAAATGTCACCTAACATGTTGCATTAATGATAGTTAAGGTAAGTTCAACACTTTAATATAATCAGGTCATAGTAGTTTTACTCCTTAAACATTCGCTAATTCAACTTAAGTTTTTGGAAGCCATCACATCTAGTTAAAAAGAGAAATATATTTCCCTTGTAATTACTGATTTACCTGGGACTTGATTGACATTGGTGCCTGTAGTTTTATTTAGACAAATGTTTATTTATGAAACAACAATTAAAAGACATGGTAGCCACAACTAATCTGAGTTAATCTGTTGTTATTTTTCAGGTCATCCATCAATTCAATTATTTGAAAATAGCCTATTATCATAAAAAATCAACGGTTCTTTTCAGAGCCATATTCTTCTTCACCCCTCTCATTTTCTTGTCTTTTGTTTTGTTTTTCTCCCTCGCTGTATGTCAGTTCATCCTTTGTTTGTTGTTGCCCTTTTTACCCTCACTTAAAAATGGCATCCAAGCAACTGAATGAATGGCTAGAGGCAGGGAAAGCCCTCTCAGATGAGTTGGCAAATAAGGCAAGTACAACATTATCCAAATATGTATTATAACATTTACTCTCAAATGTTAAAAGACACACACATTACAAAGATTTGTAATAACGCAAGGATCAAATATGTCCTGGAGGAAGAGGGACCTGGATGGGAACATTCTACCCCAACATTGGAATAAGAATCGATCTGGTCTGTACAATATCATCTAGTTCTAGTGTTTCATTAAGTTTTAATGTCGTTGGTCTTCAATAATGTTTCCTATATCATCGTACTTTGTTTATGCAGTTAAACCTTCCAGCTCTCTGGAGTCCCCAGAGGTCGAGGAGACACATGAGATTCCTCTACAGGTCCCAAGTCTTGGTATGCAC